ATTCCTGGAGGTGCCCAACTAGAGTCACATTTTAAAGTGTGTGTGGGTAAAGGGAAAATGGGGAGTTCAAATCACATTTTTCCACCCTTACTCTTAGGTTAGTTGAAGCCCTACACAGCTCCTGGCATAAACCTCAATGCTCCTTTAACTTAAGGTTTTTTCCCCTCTGACCTTAAAGGCTATTCAGGGGGCTGAAAATGCAGTGCAACAGCACTCAAACCATCCTTTTATTCTCAACTCCTGTACCAGGAACTGGGTGGTATAAAGCTGTCAGATTATATGGGCTGCAAACAGACATCCCCTTTGTGCTGCCATGAAAATTTTTATGGCTGTACAGAACCCAGGGAAACACATCTTAGCCTTTTGCCACATCAAAAATGCCCAAATTTGTGATGATTCTTAGTTATAATTTGTACCACCTTCTCGTGGCCAATGTCTGTTTGCTTATGGTGGGAGAGAGCAGGCAGGCTGTGGGCTGCCCGTTCTCTCCAGCTGCCCCAGGCAGGTGCTCCTGGGGCTTCAGAGGCTCAATCCTGTGCACCCTGGAAATCCCTCTGTAGGGCAGTTCTCAGGGTGCACGTCTGCAAGCACAAATATGGGAGCCCAGTGGGGTGTTCCCATCTGTGGGCTTGCAGATGCACATGTGGAAATCCCTCTGAAGTTAATTCCCATGGCCTGCGTATCATGCTGCTGCACACTGAGTAAAGGTGCAGCATCCATAGCAATGGTCTTGCAGGATCGGGCCCTTGAAGTCCTGGAAGCATCAAGTGGCTGGCCGTACATGACAATGGTCCCAGCCATGTCTGTAGATGCCAGTGAAGCAGATCAGCTATGCCAGGACATAAGCTGACACAGCTGATCCCTCTCCAAACACAAATCTTTTTTATACCCATGGAAACTTTTTGGTGTCCACGGGAGCTGCATAAATGGACTATTACTGTAACAGAGAACCAGGGGATTTGTAACTTTTAAAATTTGATAGCATATGTAATGACAATAAGAGTATCTGACATTAATCAACAGTCCTTTTTTTAAAATGGGATTAATGTCAGTTGCTGAGCAGTTTTTGTTTCAGAAGCAGTTGATGCTTGGCCAGGTTTGTCAGTTGTGTGTGAGAGGATATTTCACCCTTTAGAAACATTTCTTTCCCCCCAGATCTTGTAGATATGACACTTCCAGACTTCCAGAATTGGTTAGTTTTGAAGATTCCTTTTCTGGCCTCTCCCATGAAATGGCAGTGATACGGTTTCTTTCACTTCCTTTGCAAAATACTCTATTTTAATAGTATTTGACAAACACATGTTGTGGTGCCAGACTGTTAGCAACCCGTGATCTTCGCTGTGGTGTTTCTGTATCATGGGTTACAGACTTCACATTGTTTCATCTCAAACACAGTTTCCTGTTATTTTGAATGTTATGGATCAAAATTTGAGAGCACATGAGAGATTCATATTAATCAGACGTATTTTTTAGACAGAGGCTTTTGGCCAGTCATTTGTTGGGAAAATGGTACTAAACAGGACCCTTCAGTCTACCAGATGTGCTGTTTTGGAAAATGGCTGAGTCCTTGCCAGAATGCTGTTTGTTGCCAGCTACTTCCATCATTCTATTTTGTGCTTCTAAAAAGGACTTAACCAGTCATTTGTTTTGTGTTATGAAATGAATTAACCTTCAATTAATTGCTGCTCCCTTTGGGATTTACCTGTATAAGTCAAACTGGTAAACCCGTAGCTATGTTTATATACACACTCACCTCATCTTATTAAGAGACTAATCCTTGAGCATATAAATCTTTTTTTCTTCTTGCCTGTAACAGAACAGAACTGAAAATATGCAGTTCAAAATGTTAAAATGGAGCACATTTTATTAACAGTGAAGGCAGTAAATTAACTCTGCTTATAAGATGAGAGTGAACAATTTCTGCTGAACTCTTCCTGACTGCCCCTTCACAAGGATACAGTGTTTTCTAATTTCTCAGAGGGCCTTAGTTCCATTAAGGGCGAGAACTGTGTTAGAGCTGTAATGAAAGCCATACGTAGCTGAAATTCAAGGAAGGGAAATGCCCTAAATTCTATTTCAGTAGCTCATCTAGAGCTATTTTCAGTTTTATGTTTATAAGAATGTCAATTAACCTAGAGACTAGGACACACATGGAAGAATAACGATGAAGTGGATATCATTTCAACACACTGAAGCCAGCCGCTGGCCCTAATCCCTCTTTACAGCAGCATGATTTACATAAGAAGCTAGCATGTGTTACCTAATTTAGTTTTCAAACAGCTTGGCGATTTATATGCTTTTTGCTTGAGGCATTGTGGGACAGGACTGGTCAGGGCTGCAAGAATATCGAAAGAGCAGAAGAAGCAGGTGCACTGGTAGAACACAATACATCAGTTCAACCTCTTTGGCATCTTTCAAAACCACAGATCATTCAGCACCAGTTTGATCATATAAATAACCATCCCATAAAAAAAGTAAACCCTACAATTGTTTCACATATAGAATCATATCATGCAACCAGCAGTGTAAAAGGCACTACTGAGATAGGTGAGAGGTAAGGATTTTGAAGGGTAATATCTTTTATTGGACTAACTGCTTAGGAGAGATTTCAGACAAGCTTTTGGGTAGAAGGTATTCTTCCTCAAGTACACACACCTATTAGGGGTGTGCGAAGTGGGCCTTATTCAATTCAGATGCGGCCCAATTCGGGGGGCAGTGATTTGATTACTGTCCTGATTCAATTCGGCCAAATCCGAATCTGAAGATTGGATGCTGATTTGGAGAATCAGCAATTCATCCATAGACACAGCTTTAAATGTTTTTACTACATACCTCGAGGTACCAGGTATGGCTCATGAACACTGAGATGGTGGGGCAGATGGAGTGTCCTACAGGAGCATGGGGAGGCCCCTGTGGGCTTGGCAGCAGACCCACCCCCAGCTCAGCAATCAGCCACAGGGGGACCCCAGGTGCCTCCCCAGGCCCAGGAGGCACCAGTCACCAAGCCGGGGCGTGGTGGCGAGGGACCCCTGTACACTCCACAGTGGACCCAGACGTGCTTCTGGTCCACTTCCAGGTCCACTACTGAGCACGCTGTGGACTCCCCACACTCCCATGGGATACTCCATCCGCCCCCCCATCTCAGTGTTCATGAGCTGCCTGGTATCTTGAGGTATGTAGAAAAAACATTTAAAGCTGCATCTATGTCCAAATCATTGAATATCTCCGAATCAGTCCAGTGGGTTCCATTTGATTTGGAGAGATTAGAGGGTCTCCTGATTCGATTTGGATTCAGAGATTCAGCTGCTGAATCAGGCCGAATCTCTGCCCAATCAAATCAGTGACTTAAGCTTTGTACAGCCCTAACACTTATGCAGGTGGTCCAATAAAAGATATAACCCCCTCTTTCTCATACATTTCCTGGACCTTCACTGCTACAACATCATTTGAACACTACTGAGATAGATGCCAACTGAGGAGCCAGGCATGCCAGATTTTCATCTAAGTTCTGGCACTGGTTTTTTGTTGGTTTTTTTTTCTTTTTAATGGAAAGCATTTAACATCAAACTAGTCATGCTGCTACAAGAGATATTTCACCTAAGAGCACCATATTGGCCAGATGTCATTTGGCAGAAGTATCTGAACTTGGGTAAAAAGAACAGTGTTATATGGATCTTTAGGCATTTAAATGAGGAGCCATGCACTTACCTTTAGAAACTTTAGACAAATAATGTCCATGTCCATGTCTATAGACCATGTATATAGCCACCCACTGAGTATGAGCAAAAACTTGTTTTTAGTGAACAAAACATACAAAGCCATCACTTGAATAATGCTTGAGTCTACTTTTATGTTAAAAAAAGACACTGCTGTTTTTGCTTTTATGAATATTCCAAATTCTAATGACTTGTTGCGTTGTCTTTTCCTTGTTTTTTGCAACAGTACTACGGGATGACTTCCGCCAAAACCCCACTGATGTTGTGGTGGCAGCTGGAGAACCAGCCATTTTGGAGTGTCAGCCTCCTCGAGGACATCCTGAGCCCACTATCTACTGGAAAAAGGACAAAATCCGCATTGATGACAGGGATGAGAGGATCAGTGTAAGTACCACTGAAATGGCCACTTAAAGATAACTCTTAACAACACCTTCACAAATGAGATGTCTCATCAATATGAAGGTAGAGGTCTCCATTTTACAGACTACTGAGGCAGTGTTCCATTATTTCTTTAACCTTGGCACAAGAAGGAGGTGATGTAGTCAGCACCACCTGGTAAAGCTCCTGGTACCCATGAGATAGGAGGTTGAGTAGCCTCATGGCTATACTGGAAGAAACAGCAATGAGTGGAAACTCGCTGCTTTCACCTGGGATCAAACCCACATCCTTTCAGTCTATAGCCTTACTGCCTGAACTAGTGGTTCTCCTCATTAACACGAAGACACATAATTCCTTGTATAGCTTATTCATAATATTTGTAGATTCCCATCCTCCATTTGAATCCATAGAGAATGGATCTTGGTGTCTTTGTGGATTCCTATTTGTGGTACTGGAGCCACAGGGAGGCATTAAGTGCATATGCCTCTCATAGATCTCAGTGAAGAAATAAGGACATTAAATGTTAAAATTCAAATTGGACCTATATGGGCCACAGTTTAGCACCTGCAATTCTGGAACTACAGGATTTCCAAGTCTGTTCCTCAGTCAACATGCTCAAGTGTCTATTTACTGTTTGGACATGTACATGCTTACCTGACCATAAGTCTGAGGAAAAAAGGGAAGCTACCCTCCTATGCTTTATCCCTATTTGCATAATGATTATGGCACTCACCCAGGAAGTAGAAGATACAGGTTCTAGGACTCCCTCACCTAGAGAGCGTTTGTGACTTTATCTCTTGAACTTCCCAGCACAGTACTCTAACCGTCGCGGCATTATCCAGGTATCAACCCCCTGCCACTCCCCCAGAAAAAAGCAGGGCAGGGCATGGTCCAGGACCATGCCGTCAGGCAACCAGAGGCTGGGGTCCAAAGACATGCTCTGGTATTTGGCCAGAGCATCTCTATCTCTGCCCCTTGCCCCAGTGCTGCAGCACACTGCCTGCCAGTGCAGGGCAAGGAGTGCTGCAGGCTGCAGCGACCTGGACCCAGGCTCTGTTACAATTAAGTAGAGGGTGGGGGGGACTGGGATGGTGGAGGGGGTGCTGTGAGGGTGTGGAGGACTGTGGGGGGGCTGCCCAGGAGTGGTGGGTCCCCCCGCCTACCCATCACATGGCCCACAGGCCCCCCCTCCCCCACAGGGCACATGGCCCTCCTCCACATGGCCCACAGCCCCCACAGTAGTCATTGGGGTGCTCGGGACCCTCCTTGAACAGCCCCCTGTAGTGAAGGGCAGTGCAGCTCGGTCCCAGCTGCGCGGCATCCGGCACTGCCTGTGCGACATCGCATAGGCCCAGCCTGGCTCAGCGCGGGGCCGCGTGCCTTCGGGCAGCTCTGGGCCTCTTGGGCTGTGACCCAGGGTCCACCGCCACTTGCAGGGACCTCATGTCGCACCAGGCTGGGTCCTGCCTCCACAGAAGCAGCCTGGCCCGATGGTGCGCTGAGCCTGTACACGCAAGACCCAGCCTGGCATGACAGGTGGTCCCTGCAAGCAGCACTGGGCCCCGGGTGACTTCCTGAGCAGCCCGGAGCTGCCTGAAAGCACATGGTCCTGCACCAAGCTGGGTCGAGCCCATGTGATGGGGCACAGGCAGTAGGGCTGTGCAAAATTTCGGCAGCCATTTCATTTCATTTCATTTCATTTCAGATTTGGATATTTCAACGGTTGGAACACCGAATCCTAAATGAAACACAAGGCTCCAAAACATCTCTGAAATGAAGTTGGCCGTCCGAAATGTTTCAGAAATTTTCTGAAATGATTCAGATGTTTCTGAAATGTTTTGGAGCTGTTTCAGGGCTGTTTCAGAGGCGGGCTTGCAGGAAAAGAGAAACTAAGAGGGGGGGGAAGGCAGGACAGGAAGAACTCTTCTGATATTGACATCTGTATCTGGCCAGTGATAATGATCTGTCCCTGAGGTCCCTTCCAATCCCAGTGCTCTGGGGGAGGGACACCTATCTACTTGAAACTTGGCAGGCTTTATGGCCACATAAGGGGCTACTATCCCTGCAGTTTTCACCGTGCTGCACTTTATACACACACACGTCATGAGTTTTGCTTGTCAGCAGTTTCAGGTACAGTTTCTCAGAAACCCCTGCATCTAGCTCCTTGGAAGCTGGCAGGCTTCATGGCCTCAGCAGAGGCTACCATCCCTGCAGTTTTCATCCCACTCTGCCTTCACATACATATGTCACAAGTTTTGCTTTGAACAGTTTGAGATGCAGTTTCCCAGAAACCCGTGCACCTATCTCCTTGAAACTTAGCAGGCTTCATGGCCTCAGAAGAGGCTAGCAAGTTGCATCTGAATCAGGCAAGAAATTACAAATTTATAGGCAGTTTTGTGATTCCCCATTATGGACTATGACCGTAACACCATCGAAATTCTGAAACAGCACTGAAACAGTTTCAGCAGAAACGAAATGGGATAGTGATTCAAAACACCAAAATGAATCACTGTCCCTCTGAACTGCCGAATCCAAAATGAAGTGAAACAGCTATTTTGGACAGCCCTAACAGTGTGCCAGGCAGCCGGGGCTAAGCCATGCTGCCCCGCGTGGCAGGAGGCTGTGCCAGAAGGCTCCGAGTGCCCTTGACTGCTGCTGCTGCGGGATTGGGGGGGGGGG